TGCACCGACCACATCCAACTCAAGAGAACAATGAACAAAGCATGGGATGGTCTTCAAAAAAATCAAACAAACACGTTTTTCTTCATTCTAATTTTTTCATCTGGTCCATATTAAGATCTTTGTGATGTGTCAAAGATCTCTCTCTCTCGCGCGCTCAGCCTGGTCCAGAAGATGTCCCTCCCCCATCCCATGACTGATGTCTTCGTCACCTTTCATGACCTGAGTAATGGATGGGGTGATTACAAAAGCATGTACCCTGCCCCCTAAAAGAAAAGCGATGAGAAATATCCTGCTTCCCTCTAGAGTCGCTCTTAGTGTGCGCACATCATGAGTTGTTGGCCTGCATTGGTACAACTGTAAAATATGAGTTTAATAAAATAGACATTGGAGCACTGGGGCTCCGTTCTGTCACACATCATATCTTGATTCATTGATTCAGTCAGTGCTGTGAAATTGTGGGAGCCAGTTGCTCATCCCGCAGGGGCAACCTCGCGTTTCGTGATAGAGAATGCCACAAAATATAATTTTAGAGCAAAATTGTGCTTGGTTTTAAACTTAGCTTGTTTCCTGGTTTCCATTAAATTATGAAAACATTATTTCGGAACTTTCAAATGTTTTCAACATTTCTGAAACACTGAAAAGAGTGAATAACATAATGAGAATGTATATAAAAAAAATACACTTCCGTTCTAAAAACATTCGGTTTTACTTTATTTAGATCTTTAACGCATTCTGTTGACTAATGTTGCACCTACATGTTGCAAAGTTATTCATAGTCAGTAGAATGTCTTTTAGAATTTAGAGGACCATCACAATAAAGAGTTATCAGATATTAAGCAGACAGTGAGTGTACTAATATATAAAGAGAGTTAGTTGACATGTAGTTGCAAATTTACTTATAGTCAAAAGGATTGCTCAAAAGGGACCATCAAAATAAAGTGTTACCAACTTAAAACGTAAAAAAATGGATGTTTAGAATGTTCATATAAGTTTCATTCACATAATGGAAATGGGAAACGTACTTAGAACAAAATATTGTTGTTGTTGTTGTTGTTGTTATTGTTGTTTTTGTTTTGTTTGATTTTCCATAATGCATAAATAGATGTATGCAGGCTAGGCTTGCTGCTCGATAATTTAACTCATTCAGAATGAACTTGGTACAGATATTTTTGAAATCTCACGGCTTTGAGGAAAGCTCATAAATTAACAAAAATTGTGTTCCGTGCATGATTCAAAGATGAAAGTATACAGAAGTCACAATATGACAATTATTTCATATCAAGAAGCACTCATCACAATATAGTCATTACACCCCATGTAAACACACACTTTGGCAGATCAACATGTCTCAGAGAGACTATAATTGCCTTGGTAGGTACAAAATGCATCAAATCACATTGTGAAATGAAACACTTGATTATAAATTCAAGTTCATGAACCTCCTTCATAAATGTAGCACTGGATGTCGTGCAGCGAACATAAATCTCCTACTCTGCTGAAGGTCATGAAATTTTAAGCACCAAAAGTTGGTGATGTCCATCTGGATATGAGCAATAAAGCAGCCGTGCGGTGCCAAAGCCACTATACCAGGAGCCCAGTGACGGATGAAGGCAAGAACGCTTTCAGTGGCCTCAAAATGAGAAAGCATTCATCCATTTCTTGACTAATGCCTGTGAATTTTCCCGCAGATCTTTCAGACACATGTATAACATCTTCTTTGGGGTGCAATTTGGTTTGGGTTAGAGGATGAATGGTGGGATTTTCCTGTAGTGATGGTTTTCAGTAATGACTTTTGAAAAAGAGCTATAACAGTTGGATCCATTATACAGTATCTCATAAGCTAAGAGTCAGCATACCGTGTGCATCATTACAGTAGGTGCTTTTATAAGCCTATGCATAATTATGTACACTAATATCATGGACAGAAATATCTTTTCAGGCTCTATATCTATTCTCTACCTTTCTCTATCTCCCTCCCACGCACACACACATATGCACTGCACACACACACACACACACACACAAACAAAAAAACATAAGCCTGCACATTTTCATTCTCTTTCTCAGTCTGTGCCGTAACCACACACACACACACTCAAACAAATGAGACAGCTTGAGTTATGGCCTCTATATGTATCTTGATACCTTTCAGTTCTGGACAAACACCTGATGGCAGCTTTAGATGGGTCTATTTATTTTCCCATTATGGAAGGCCAGACAATATGCCTTTTGTACTAGGGATTTTTATATGTGTAATAGCATGAGAACCTGACTGAGGGTGTGTGTCTCATGACAGCTTGTTAACTTTGTCCTGTTTGTTTTGTGTCGCTGCGTTAGAGTTGTCTTTAAAGAGTATAATGAAGACTCACGCTCTCTGTTAAGTCTATAAAATGAAACATCTGTAGTAAGTGAATCCTGCAATCTGCAACTGCTTTCCTGGATTTACAATTCATAGTCTAAATATAAAAAAAGCGAGGAGCTCCAAAAACGTATAGGATAATAGCACCACCTAGTGGTTAAATCAGCTTTAATGCTATTGGCAATCATTGAAATTGAATACCAGTTTACTATTAATACTCTGAGAAGAAAGAAAAAATGGCACAAAAGCTGTCACCGGGATGGAAAAGCTGTCACCCTTTTCAAACGTTTCTACATTTAGTAGTGTAGCTACAATTTAGATACTATGTACACTTTAGTACATTTAAGGTATACCAATATGCACATAGGGCAAATAAGGTACATAGGTCTTGAAGGTACCGAAAACAGCTGTACCTTTTTTTCTGAGAGTGCACACTTAAAAAAAAAACAAAAAAACAGTAGACCTTATTTCATCAAAAACATTTCAAACGGTTGTATGCTACACGTGACCTCATCAAATTGCATGCAAATGGCATCCAGTTATCATTTTGAAAATCAAACTAAACTTTTCAGGACTGTAAAATAAAGTGCTGCTTTTCTTGTAGTGCAGCCTTTTGTGCTTTTTGGCTAACATAGGTCTTTATTCCATGCATAGAAAAACATTGCATACCGTATATTCCAGAAATAACTTATAATTCATGTGCTTAAATGCTTGTGCTTCATCACCCTGTAGCCCAAGACTGCATTGCCCACTGAAGCTAAGCAGGGTTGAGCCTGGTCAGTACCTGGATGGGGACCCAATAGGTTGCCTCTGGAAGAGGTGTTAGTGAGGCCAGCAGGGGGTGCTCACCCTGTGTTCTGTGTGGGTCCTAACGCCCCAGTAGTGATGGGGACACTATACTGTCACAGAGCACCGTCCTTCCGATGAGACGTCAAAACGAGTTCATGTAAAACCCCCCATAAACTTGCCCATTGGCCTCTGTCCATCATCATGGCCTCCTCATCCCCATATACAGTATATACACTGACTGGCTTCATCATCCGTCTCCTCTATAAATGATCCTCGAACATGTTCAATGTGAGTAGTTGTGAAAATCCAGGCTCTCTGCATTTTTCATAGCTGTGAGATGTGACTTTCGCTTGTCCTTTGTGTGCTTTACATAACCAGATAGACAGAAGCTGCACAAATAACAATGAATGTCCCCTGCGGCATGAATCAGGTATTCAGACAATCTTACAAAACACATTGTTTTATCAGGTCAGAAATAACTAATTGATGAGGGAGGAATGGAAAGTTACAATTCATTCTTTCTTGGAATGCTGGATTCATTGATAAAATGTTGCTTTAAAATGCTTCAGTATCAAGAGAAGTCAGTAAGGAACAGATTACTTTTTAGTAATTAGCTAGCAGACAATTTTGAGTAATAATAGAAATGTATTCTTTAAATAGAATATGTTATTACACACAACTATCGCAGAGGATCTTGATTAAGGCCTTTGGCAGTGGGGTGTGTGTGGCCCAGTAACCTCTAATTCACAAGGAAGGTTTAGTCTGCTTTGACTATGAATTACCCTGCCATTGCATAGTGCCACCCCTCCCTGCTGAGTCTGTGGTTCATTTAACACACGCGCACACACACACACACACACACGCACGCACACACGCAGTAACTGAGTCAACACTTTAGTCTGGCAGTATATTTATATGTCTGTGGGATGTTCGCAACCCCACCCTGCATTTGAGAAATTCCAGCACTTTCAAGATCAGTCCCAACTAAGTGCACAGAGCCTAATGCCAAGCGCCCTGCTTCTCTCAGCATGAACTGAACAGTGCAGGAGTTTTCAAGCCCCAAATATGATCATCCTTGCATGAGGGACCCCCAAGCTCAAATTTAAAGGGCATCTCTTTATATATAGGCCTATATATATATATATATATATATATATATATATATATATATATATATATATATATATAAACCCACGTGGAACAGGTAATATTAGCAATACGTCTTCCATATTATTTGGAAAACATTTAGTTTCTATTAAGCTTACCTTTATTACATTGTTTTTCTACTCAGTAATGTATTGTTAGATTTATTATTTAATTACTTAATTAAATAAGTTTTATTATTGTTATTAGCCTATTTATTTATTTTTACTTTTTTTTTTTACTCTGTTTTTCTTTCAGATTTTACACGGACCCCCTTGCACCCCCTCGGGGTCCCCGGACCCCAGTTTGAAAAATACTGACATAGTGCATACTACATTTGATGTTATGATTCAATTCGATCAATGTTATTTGATAATAATGTAACCATTATATAACATAAAAATTTAAGAAAAAAAAAATCTTGAATAACCTTCCTTTTCTAGTTATAATTACCACCAACCCCCCAAAAAGAACAATGGCAGTTTTAGAAATAAATAAACTATTTTATTATTTCATTAGTCTCTTTTATTTATTTTTTAGGGCAACTTTAGGAAGTTGCTTTTTAAGGCAACTTATGTAATAATTTTTATATTTATAAAAATTATATTTATAGAGTTTGTTCCTAAAAAAATAAAAAGCACATGCACACGCACGCCGCAGTGGGCGGGGTCACGTAATGACATCACATGACAGGATTATCAAATTACTGTAGTTCATTCTCCTACTTCCGTGTTCTTTCACTACTACCATCAACCAACCGGCCGACGCAAGAGAACGAGAATGTCTCACCAAACCGGCATCCAAGGTAAAATCCTTTACGATCTTTTATCGTCGATTCAAATAAATCGGACGGAGTTTATTACATAGCTATAATGCACGTTTCTTAATTTGGCGATTGTTTGTAAACAGAATAACCTGTTGTGGACGTTGCTGAGACTGAATTGCCTTATAGAGTTTTATTGGGAGCTAGCAGTAAACAAACCAGAGACAGACAGTGAATCTGTGTCAAGTGTACTCTGCCTTTTGGTGCTCTAATATGGGCATGCAAATAAACTCCGATTGGTCTTTCACTATCAGTGTGTGTGTAGTCGAACTGGAGTTGAGGAGTGTGCACTCATAAGGAAGACAGCAGGTTTCAAAGGTCCAGCTGTAATAACCGTGTCACCTTTATCCAAAGCTGTTGCCAGGCATTATGCAATGGACATCTGTTTACATTGATTGAGCTTTTACTGCAGTGGCGTTGTGTTACCATGACAACACATTACTATGAATCAATGCAGTGATGCCAATGGTTTAATTAAAGATCACTTTGCATGATAATATTGTGATTTCTGCAAAGAATTTCAAAGAACGTACTCCAGGAATGGACAACAGTCTCCTAAAACTGCCCCTAACAATGCCTCTTTAGATTTCTCGCTTTAGTTCATCAGCCAAATTTCAATTCCGTTATCCAGAGATGGGACAGCTTTGTTTCGGATCAGAATAAATGGATTCATTGTGTCCTGTTCTTTCTCGCCCTGTGCTTTCTCTTCTCAGCTACCGGGGAAGTGAAAGAAATCTTTGCAAAGGCTCGGAATGGAGAATATCGGCTCATCAAAGTAGTGATTGAAAATGGTGAGATAACAGTTTTACTTAATTTGACACATCAGATCAGAGTATAAAAACATTTATTGAAACCTTTCTTCTTCTTCTTCTTTTGCCCCTTTTCACTTGCATTTTCAATTGGACATGACAGAAACATTAAAAAAGCTTTAAATTTAGAACCTTACGATATTTTAATTTATTTACAAAGTTTTCTGAAAAATAGAATTACATCATTATTCTTTTATTTTCAGCAAAATTTTACATTCACAGATCAAGACTAAAGGCCCATTCACACCAAGAACAATCACTATAAAGATAACTATATTAATGTGCTGAAGTTTTGTCGCCTGCTGCTTTAAAGTCGAGTGGATTCTGATTGGCTGTCAATGTTTTTATCATTCATCAACTGAAAAAAAAAATTGTTGTGAAAATGATTCCAATGATATTATTCCTCTGTGCTGTTATCATTATAGTTCTGGTGTGCTATTCTTTTAAATTTAGAAAGATGTTTATAACTACCGGTATATCTTCATTGTTGATTATCGGCCTTGGTGTGAACAGGCCTTTACTCAATAAAAACCCTCATTTATTTATGAGAACACAAAACAAGAAACTTATTAAGAAAAGCTTTTCAAATTCCTTTATCTGTCCAAATCTTCTGTTTGCTTGTGTTTTATATGTTCACTTTGTTTTATTGTTGTTTGTTGTTCTTTACCTCACATTCTCTGAGCTGTTGAATAATGCTCTGTACTTTTTGTTTTGCATTTGACTGAACTTAAATAGAAGATTTAAATAGACAAAAAGGATGTATGTCCATGTATGACCAACACATCATATCACACTTTCCTTTCCTCCATTGTCTTCCTGTAGAGAAGTTAGTTCTTGGCGGAAGTAAACGGGCTGCCAAGAAATGGGACCAGGAATGGGACAGTTATGTTCTTTCACTCGTGGAGGACGACATGCCCTCGTACCTTCTCTACAGGTTGGATTCCACCAACAACCAGGGTTACGAGTGGATCTTTCTGGCCTGGTCTCCGGATCACTCTCCAGTGAGTTTGTTTGCATGATGTCGTTGTCTTTCAGCTCATATGAGGCCAAAGGAAATCATGAGATGACATCACTCAGTGCATTTTAATCCATCCACTCCGTATATAGTATCCCTGGTTTAAAGCTCTTTAAAAAAAAAATCCCAGTTAAGCTTGTTTTAACCATATTAAAACAGCCTATTTTATAGTACTATGTGGAAATGAATGATCATCAAGGATATTGTATCATTGTTATAACAAAAGAGTATGTAGTGAATGTGAATATCTATGGAGATCCACTAGTACTGTGATTGTTTACAGAGTGAAAATATCAGTTATGCTCATATAATGGAGTCTTTGCATTGAAGCAAAAGATCTAGATGTCAATCTAGCTTTCACAGTACATATTTTATATATATATATATATATATTTTTTAGTTTTATGGAAAGCATGGGCCATGGGGTGACCTGATATAGGTCTACAAATTTGCCATTCTAATTTTTTCCCTCAATGTTAAACAGAGAGAGAGACTGAAATGGTCAGAGTCTCAATCGCACCCAAATAAGTCTTTCATGCTGATCTAGAGCAAGATAAAATTGCTCAAACTGCTCTTCTATTACAAAACAACTTTAAGGTTGCTCTGGAAACAGAAATAATATTAATATTGTTAATTTGTTACTATTATAATTTTATTGAGTATTCTTATATGTTGTCATTTATTATTATGATTTATTTTCTTTATGTATTGCTTTTTTATGTTGTTGTTATATACGTTTGCTTGGTTTTTGATCATGCCTGTTAAAAGTTCTTTTTTTACAGATGCATGTTGGCCTGTTAAAATATATTTATCTGATCCTAAAAAAAAAACTGGTAAAAAAAAATTCCAGAAACCTATTTTGAAAACAAACGTTTTCTTTCAGGTCCGACAAAAGATGTTGTATGCTGCTACGAGGGCCACGCTGAAAAAAGAGTTTGGTGGTGGCCACATTAAAGAGGAGATTTTTGGCACAGTGAAGGTATGACATGTATCAGCTGCCATTTTATTCAAATTCTCTCATGAACGAATCTCAGCCGTTGGTTTCCCCACTAACGCGTCTCTGTCTGGCCAGGATGATATCTCTCTAAACGGCTACAGGAAGTACCTCACCTCGCAGGCGGCGCCTCTGCCTTTGACTGCAGCAGAGGAGGAACTGAGGCAAATCAAACTCAATGAGGTAATGCTGACATCAGCGTAAACACAGCATGGGTGTACACCTTAGTCAGGCCCTGCTGTGGTTTTATTCAAATAATGTGAAAACCACATCAGTCCAACCGTCCACCTCAGGCCTTTTTTATCCAGTAACTTCATGACCTGAGGCAAAAAACTGTTTCGTTACATTTTGCACAAAATCGTTTCTGTTAACTGAGGCTGCTCTTTTAGAAGCCATTAGACCAGAATGGTTTAGTGCACTACACTGCATTGTGAACTAAAGAGTTTTTTTTTTTTTTTTTTGTCAGATTGGTAGTTTGTTTGCTTAGCAATATGCATGTTGTAGATCTGATATATTTGTATTTATCTTGTAATGCAGTTTGTTGTTTTGATCTATTTACAACATCATGTCAAAGCCTAGTGTATTAACATGATTTGTGGAAAAGAGTCTGCTAAAAACATAAATGTAATATTTGACCTCAAACATACGCTGACTAAAAATAGAGAAGCTCAGTCCCATGCACTCTCTCATTTAAACCAGCTTCTGGAACCAATTTAAAAGGATGCTGCTGGCAGTGCATACAAACCTCCCATAAACCATAAAAGGATATGCTCTGACTCTTAAACGCCTCATTGGCTGTTGCAAAATGACAGGCAGCTTAATGAACCAATCAAAAGGCTCCCTGAACTCCCACTGAGCAGCAGCTGTGGGAGGAAGATAATACTACACTAATCTACATGTATAAGAGGAGAGGAAAGCAGCTTTGTGATGTTTTATTTTTATTAATTTGTTGAAAGGGAGATTTTATTGAGTAGATGGGTGGATGAAACGCTGGTCCCAATCCTAGATGAAAGGAGGCAGAGAAGCAAAGCAGGAAGTTCATTCAGTGGGTGAAACACAGAATGTGGCGTGCAGTGCATATATACAGTATTTTTATATATACAACATTTTTATTGTGTATATATACAGGATATATATATATATATATATATATATATAAATGCATTTGGTTGAGGCTCAGGCATTCAACAGTAGTCCAATATATACCATTCAATATAATTTAGAGAAAGAAAAAAAAAGTAAGTAGTTATTTACAGTAAAGTATATAAATATGCAAAACACATATGTTTGTATGTTTACTTTGTATATTAAATAATAAAGTGTGTAGTATGTGCAGTGTTTTAAAGTGCAAAAAGCTCTTTGTAAAGGAAAGGTTTGTGTGCAAAGGTATGCAGTGCAAGAACCTGTAGTAGACAGTAGAAGAATAAACTACACCATGAATTGTAGAGCTGGTTCCTAACTAATCATTTAACAATCATTGTGACAGCTTTGGTTATTACAGGTCAGTGCATACACGTTGTTAAGGTTATATGTGTGTTTTCAGTTGCAGACAGACGTCCATGTTGACACAAAGCAGCAGACTCTTCAGGGAGTGGCGTTCCCTATGCAGAGAGAAGCTATTCAGGCTCTGGAGCAGTTCAGGGAGAAAAGGATTAACTACGTTCAACTGGTACTTCAGGCATTTTTCCCCTCCACCACTCCCAGCAGCTCTGTACAATAGCATCTTATCCCTCTTTTTAACCCTTTGCTCTGTATGTTGGACATAAAGAAATAATACCTGTGCATAATGGCCTGAACTTGTTGACAGACTGGTTGGGCTGACTCTTAGCCACATAACCCCCAACACGTGACAGAAATACATGCTTTAGAGTAACGATTCAATGATATTTATTGATCATGTCCATCCCATTAACAGGAAATAGATTTTCCTAAAGAATCCATCAAGTTGTTCAGCACGGCTCCTACGGATCTGAAAGATCTACCTAAAAGGATCCCAAATGATGCGGCTAGATATCATTTTTTCCTTTACAAACACTCTCATGAAGGAGACTACCTCGAGTCCACAGGTAATCGTTTATAGATAAAAAAAATGATGTACAAATTCTGTATATAGAATGTGTATATATAACATTTTTATTTGTCTCTTATGCTTAGTGAGGCTTCATTTATTTGATCAAAAATACAGTAAAAACTGTCATATTGTTATAATTTAAAATGTTTTCTATTTTAGTATATTTTGAAATGTAATTTGTAAAAGTAATGTATACATATATATATATATATACACACACACACAGTATATATAACTTAAGATGTTGATTTTTTTTTATTCTAAATTTGTAATTTTGAATAACTTTTCTTTTTCGAAATTACCACTACTATTTATATTGCATTATGATGCATTTTCATACTGTTTTAATGCTTTTTTCGTGTACGTGTGTTTGTGTTTCCAGTGTTCATTTACTCTATGCCTGGTTATAAATGCAGCATCAAAGAGAGAATGCTGTATTCAAGCTGCAAGAATCCTCTTATAGACACAGTGGAGAAAAACTTGGGCATTGAAATTGCAAAAAAGGTATTATATGCTCGCCTAACCATTTTTACTGCAGTATCAAGTACATTACAGCATAAAATCAGAATCAGACTATTTACAATAATGTTAACGTTCTAGTTTTCAAACCTGTTTCTCAATTAATTCTCCATCCTTTCAGCTGGAAATTGAAAACGGTGATGAACTAACCAGTGATTTCCTGTACGAAGAGGTCCATCCCAAGCAGCATGCGCACAAGCAAGCTTTTGCCAAACCCAAGGGGCCAACCGGGAAGAGGGGGGTCCGTCGAATCACACGGCCGCCGGGGGACGGTGGCGATGACGATTAAACCTCTTCCTATTCCGAGATTGACAGTGGCACATTCCACTTAGTCTAATGAATCCCCGTCCTGAAGCAAATTTCAATTTTCCGTTGACTCATCTAGACCACAGCCCTATAGACTGATCTATGCACAAAGTAAAACACTAAGCCTGTGAAATTACATTTTGTAGCTTGCAATATGATACGCTATGTCGAAGAACACAGATTGAGGTAGACGAGAATGTATTTTACGAAGCTTCACTTGCATTCAAGGATGCCGTCTGTGATGTTCCTGGTAATAGTTTTAACACTATTATGCTGTTTACTTGCATATTAGCCAAGATTATGATGTAGAGTGCAATACTGTTGAAATAGATACTCCATTTAGTGCTTGTTTTCCAGGAATAGATATTGATTTACTAGGAAAATCCCTTTTTGAAGAAAATTTTGAAGAAAAAAAACGTTAAGAGATGGTTTCCCATAAACTAATATCTAATCTAGTCCAGGTATATATTGCACTTCGATGGTAGCTTTCCAGTTAAACTATATTTTAGCTGAGGAGTAGCGTTAATATTTGTCCAGGAAATTGGCTTTGGAGATTAGGCAAGATTTATGTTTGGAAAACAAGCCCAGAAAGTTAAACAGTCCACGGCCGTGAATCTTGCTCCAAGTGGTTGTCTGATCCGGAAGGTCAGAAGTTCAGATCTGTTGAATGAGGCCATAAGCATTATTTATTAACTTTCTGATTGATTAGGTTGAAAATTTTCTTAAATAAATCACTTGACAAGCTCATCAGTATTTTGACAGCCACTGAACCTTGTAGCGATAAGGTAGGGATGATTTCAATGAAGGATTTGCCAAGAATAATGTGCTGAAAATGTCCCAATACCTTTTTAAATATGTATTAATTCTTAAAAATTGGTCTTGTTTTTTTTGTTTTGTTTTTTAACGTAGGATTGTTTAATTATAGAGATATGATTATAGTAGAATCAGTCATAACACAAATCTGAAAAAGCCATTAGCTATTTTTCTTCAAGTGAAGACTAAACCTGCAGAGATACTATTTTTCTAAGCCTGTACAGCTGTTTGTCCAGATGATGTCGTTGTCTAACATCTTGATCTGAGTGTTCATAGTTTCAGGGGTTTATGGCCATCCTGTCTGTCTGAATGAATATTTACATGTCAACTAATGGTCAACCTCCATTTCATGCCATTTGCAACCACACTAATGTATACAGTGCATGGAGTTCAGTTCGCTTGAGATGCTGTTGAAACCACTCATAAGGGAAGGGACTGTAAGTTCCATAACCTCTGGGACGATTCATCTGCTGATTAACAACAGGCAAACCACTATTAACATTTCTTCTGTGTATGGGTATTATGAAGTCTGGAACCGAATCATTGTAGAGTCTTAAATGTCTTTTTCTATGCATTGTATAAGAAAGAAGAGAGAGAAAAATAAAAAAGATTTGAAGATATACATTGGGAGTCATCTGTTATCTCTCTGTCTGTCTGTCTCTATCTATCTTATCTATATTTCATGATATAGTGCTGTACATGTTTATTTTGTTTTCATTTAATTTAAGCTTAATACATGCTACTTAATGTCTGGTTATTATTATGATTGATTTAATGTGACATTACCCTTCACACATTTTGTAATCAGTACATTGGATTGCAAAAGGATAGAAAGTGTTTTATTTAAATAAATATATTTTTTCATTTAAAGGGATACTTAACCCAGAAAATGAAAATCATGTCATAATTTACTCACCTTCCAAACTTGTATGAAATTCTTTCTTCTGTTGAACACAAAAATGGGGCCAGAAACTGTTAAGTTACTGACATTGTTCACAATATATTATTTTGAAGATGTATGAAGAAATTCATACAGGTTTGGAACAACTTGAAGATGAGTAAAGGATGACAGAATTTTTATTTTTGAGTGAACTATCCCTTTAAGAGTCTGCGTAATTCTGCGCTTCTGTGTCTTTAAGAGCGGTACCACGTGGTGCGGAAGTAATCAATTGACAACAATAGCACGCGGGTGAGTGAACGCACTATTTTCGCCTGTATTTTTTTATTTATTTTATGACATAACAGTTTTAAACTCACGAGCCCTTGTAACAGTGATACGACCTTTTCTTATGTAATAATTTTAATGTTAACACGATTAAATCCTCTTTCCATGTTTATTCAAGATGTAATGAATCACTAACACAATAATAAAATGATTCAGTGACTCAATCGCTAAGTGTGTTTTTGTTTAGGATTCAAAAATGGAGAGGGACACTATATCAGACCATGAAGGTTTCTATGGGACTATAAAAAACTCACCGCAAGACTTTGTGGTTATTGAAATGGACACCCATGGACAACTTGTTAACAGCCCTAATGTTCTGGAAGAACACACAAAACGACCTCAACAAAGTCAAGCTAATAAAAGGGGTGATAAATTAAAACCATCTAACCCAGATGACACTGACATTTTAAATCAGGATTGCTTTGATCTGAATCTAATCCTGGGTCCAGCTATGAACGAAGAGTTGGAACATTTCACTAACAAAATGAGAGCAAATCCAAATGAAATTTGTGACCAAGAAAAGGCAGAACTGTCTTTGGGTACTTATCCTGATAAGCACCTGAGAGCTGTTGTTCACAGAGCAGTACGATACAACTTCCCCTTCCTTCAGACTTTAACCAACCAATCAGAGATTCGGGTCAGAGAGGACCCAGACTTCAAGCAGCTCGCCAGTTTAGCCTCTGAAGGAGAAGCTGAGGAGTTCTTCAGGTTCATCGATGCCAAAGTACCCGGCTCTGTGTTCACCTTCCTGCCCGATGATAGCAAGGAGCACCGAACTTCCGTTCATCATTTTGTTAGCAGGCGGTTTGGAAAGCTTGTGGAAACCAAGAGCTTCACCGACCAGCAGAAGACTTCCATTACAGTGAGACTAAGGGAGAGAAGTAAACAACCCAAGAAGAGAACAATAGCAGACTGTCAAGAGGAGGAGGTGGTGACATTATACACAGGTGAGTGGAGAAGACACATTACTTATCATCATTTATAACTGATCCTCTATGGAAATCAGCCTAAAATGCAAGTCTTCATTTCCCCTCAGCTTTCACGCTGCGGAAGGAGAACTTGGAGACTTTGGAGGCCATCAGCTACATGGCTGCAGTACTTGGAGTGCTTCCGTCCGATTTTACCTACGCGGGAATCAAAGACAAGCGAGCCATCACCTACCAGGCCATGGTGGTGAAAAAGATCTCTCCAGAGCGGTAAACAGCTGATTAGTCAATTAGCACAGTCTTTTCCCATTGGTTTCTAATTTTTCTAGAGTATAATTTAAAAAATGGGTTATTGGAAATGTCTTGTTGACCATGTTCTACTCTACAGAGGTTTTCAAACTCTGGGGATGCCCAGGCTAGGGTATCTGCAGAACATTTGAAAGAATACAAACTTTTAGGGCTGTCAAAGTTAATGTTTACATTAGATATTAATGAAACATGTAGCAGTGATTTTAAAACTGGTCATAAATCATGAAATAAATGCAAATTTGTATTCTGTCTAACCTAGGGTGACCATATTTTGATTATCGAAAACAAGGACACTCGGCACAATTTAGTTTTCTTCTTCCCCTTTATCCTGTTTTTCTTTCTTAATGGCCCAATGAAAAATAATGAAAACCAGGATATTTTCATCACTTTATAAAGAACAGCCAGGACAGCACGTGAAAACAGGACATGTCCTGGGAAAACAGGACGTTTGGTCACCCTACTCTAACCTTAACAAGAAGAACAAATCTGCAAAAAAATAAACAAAAAAAATTAAATATTTTTAAATTAAATGCATTTTATAAGAAAATTAAAAGATTAGAAGATACCGTTAACTTTGGCGTCGTCTGTCATTTTCGGGGGGCTCTGCAATCATCACAATGAACTACAATATTTTTTTTAATCACAAATATGTTCTATTATATACACTCACCTAAAGGATTATTAGGAGCACCATACTAATACTGTGTTTGACCCCCTTTCACCTTCAGAACTGCCTTAATTCTACGTGGCATTGATTCAACAAGGTGCTGAAAGCATTCTTTACAAATGTTGGCCCATATTGATAGGATAGCATCTTGCAGTTGATGGAGATTTGTGGGATGCACATCCAGGGCACGAAGCTCCCGTTCCACCACATCCCAAAGATGCTCTATTGGGTTGAGATCTGGTGACTGTGGGGGCCATTTTAGTACAGTGAACTCATTGTCATGTTCAAGAAACCAATTTGAAATGATTCGAGCTTTGTGACATGGTGCATTATCCTGCTGAAAGTAGCCATCAGAGGATGGGTACATGGTGGCCATAAAGGGATGGACATGGTCAGAAACAATGCTCAGGTAGGCCGTGGCATTTAAACGATGCCCAATTGGCACTAAGGGGCCTAAAGTGTGCCAAGAAAACATCCCCCACACCATTACACCACCACCACCAGCCTGCTCAGTGGTAACAAGGCATGATGGATCCATGTTCTCATTCTGTTTACGCCAAATTCTGACTCTACCATCTGAATGTCTCAACAGAAATCGAGACTCATCAGACCAGGCAACATTTTTCCAGTCTTCAACTGTCCAATTTTGGTGAGCTCTTGCAAATTGTAGCCTCTTTTTCCTATTTGTAGTGGAGATGAGTGGTACCCGGCAGACATGGGGACTTGTGACTTGGTGACTTGGACTCGAGTCGACTCAAGTCGCTATTTTTATGACTTGTGACTTGACTTGACATAAAATGAAATACTTGAGACTTGACTCGGACTTGGAAGTTAAAGACTCGGGACTTGACTTGACTTGAGACACGATGACTTGAATGACTTGAGTGTTAATCACATCATGTTTTCAGTTTGAATATAAAATATATATAAATTTTTTTTTTTTTAAGTTGATCACGACACTATCATCAGTCATACCCTCTCATACCTTACGCACACCACGCCCACTTAGATCAGATATCACATCAAAATGTCGTCCGGAGGGCTACCAAGGGTCATTGCTTTCGGCTTCAAGAATTATTCACACGATGGCAAAAGACGAACAGCGCTTTGCAAGACATACAACATTAACATTGCGGACAGCCAGACGACAACCTCCAATTTCGTCCGTCATTTGAAGAGCCATTCTGCCCGGTAAGTGCTTGTCAATTTGTTAATGTTAGTTGGTAGGCTAGTTAGCTAATGTAATAGCTAAAGTAGCCATTAACCCTTTCAGAAGTTAGTTTAAACTATTCTAACTGATCCCCCAGCGTGAGTTTTTCTAGGCGACCGTTATTTAGAACCTGTCACTCACTTTAATGTTTCATGGTGACGCGTCATTGCTTGTCACGTGACACAGCGCAACCACAACACAGCGCTGAATGAATGATCTGCTTTTATGTAATTTTTCCTCCTGTTTTATTCAAAATGTATAAGCTATAACATGCAACACTGATATTCCGATTGTCAAATATGTGCAAGTGGATGTGTTTTGTTGTTTAAACACCTTTATAATGATCGCGTTAGTTGAGCTATATGTGCGAATGGGCGGTGCCATGTTAACGTTAGTTTACAACACGTCAATTTCTCAACTTCTCACGAAATACATGAAAGTAAGTGACCGGCGAACTGGGAGAAGAATAGGGTCAAATGTAAAGCTACTTACACAATGTGTATCTGATATGAATAAAACGTGCGTCTTATTATAATGGAAAGGATTATTATTGACGCTTTCATAGACATCAGTGTATATTTTACAAACTACAAATATATTTTTTTGCTAGTAGTTATGTGTATTTAAATGTCTGAAACTTAAAATAAAAATGATGTGGTTGAAAACACTGAACAGTTGTGATATATGACAGCACTGAAAGCGTATGTCTCTGGCTCAGCGCCAGCCAACGCGTTTGAATTCATTGATAAATAACTTACACGAAGCAGAATAGTGGGTCATATGTCTAATGCTTTTTGAAAACTTAAAGGGGTCATATAATGCCATTTTTGTACAAGCTAATATGATTCTTTAGGGTCTAAATTAAAAGTTTGTAATATACTTTAATTAAAAATTCTCATTAGTATTGTAAGAAAACACTTATTTTACTTGGTCCAAAACAGCTCTGTTTTCAGCACGCCGTTTCAGTGCATATGACTTTAAATGATAATGAGCTTTGCTCACCCCGCCTCTCTGTTCTGTGCATACTCCGTTTGTAACACAATAACCATAACGCGTTGTTCAGTATAAACATGGGATTATGAATTATATTGAGAACGCCATACATAGAAAACATGCCGTAATGTACCCTGAGTGTAAACCTTAGACGCATTCATTGTGAAGCGTGCAGCTAGCGATTTGCAAAGATTAATATATTAATATAAAGTTTAATAAAACGTTACACTCACTTCCGTTCTTCTGGAGATTCAGCAGGAACACGAATAGCTGGTACCGATCTTTTTTCATGAGCAGCTTCTTAGCAAATCCAGCTTTATACTGACCCTCGTTTATAAAGCAGTCTGGTGTATGAAATGATTTGCGCAAACATGAGAGCATTGACGTTGCTCGTGGGGAATATTCCCTTCGAAAACAAACTCAGCCACTGCGTCTTCAGCGGTTCGGATTTAGGAACATTAAAATAAATGCTGTGTTCGTTATTACACCCAAGAACAGAACACCACAATCGCTTAGACGCCATTCTGCTCATAGACAGTGCTCCAGCATATCAACAATGACCGCGCCGTGCAGACTATGATTGACAGCTGGCTCATGAGCGAGGGCGGGTCTGTGTTGAAACGCGGCTGTCATTCAACAATCGTGGGAGGGACGTGCGAGCCTGTGACGTCACAGGCTCGAACGGCTCGATTTGAGGCAGGGGAAAACATATAAGGAGATTAAAACAAAACCACTGGATGGATTTTTATCATTATATGATGGTTGTGTACAGGCACTGCCAACACACATTTCAGTACAATCAACTTGTAAAAGTGCATGTACCATTATATGACCCCTTTAAGGCTGTCTTCTTCATAAAAGAAGTCGGACATCACATTTTTGTATACATTTTTATTTCTTTAAATTAGTAAGCTACAGGACACCATCTTTCAAAACATGACCTGCGCGAAAGAGAAAAGTGAATGAATGCGTCATTGTTCCCAAATGCACTTCCGAATGCGCCTCTGTTCATTTCAAACCAAACTGACGCCCATAGATCAAATTCTGCAGGTAAAATTACAATAATAAGGTGACTTGACTTGGACTTGACTTGACCTACTACAAGACTTGACTTGACTTGACTTGACTTGACTTGACTTGACATAGCCTGTGACTTGACTTGACTTGACTTGCCCAGGAAAAAAAATACTTGGGACTTACTTGAGACTTGAAGGTTAAGACTTGAGACTTACTTGAGACTTGCACATGTGTGACTTGGTCCCATCTCTGGTACCCGGGGGGTCTTCTGCTGTTGTAGCCTATCCGCCTCAAGGTTGTGCGTGTTGTGGCTTCACAAATGCTTTGCTGCATACCTCGGTTGTAACGAGTGGTTATTTCAGTCAAAGTTGCTCTTCTATCAGCTTGAATCAGTCGGCCCATTCTCCTCTGAGCTCTAGCATCAACAAGGCATTTTCGCCCACAGGACTGCCTCATACTGGATGTTTTTCCCTTTTCACACCATTCTTTGTAAACCCTAGAAATGGTAAGGATGGCTGGCGCGAAACAGACGTTCCGAAGCTTTGCGAGATCCCGAAGCAAAGATGATTCGAAACACTGATCCGAAGCGTGATTCAAAACACCCACGTCACGTGACAACGGCTAAATGAAGGCTCTAAGTGTTTCATCAGGTGGAGTGCTCCTACGAATCAGGGTTTCATTGATTGGTCGGTTCGGGAACAAATCACACAATCACACAGTATAAAAGTTTTGTCAACGCATTTTCATATCGTGGGTTTTTGTGAGAGGAGTTTGGTTTTGAGATAGCGGATTTTTGGTGATATAGTGACATTTATAGTGCGATTTGTTTAGTTATATTTAGGATTTAATTTACATTTACACATTGACTTAGAGACACACAGAGTACATATAGTGACACATTAATAGATGCATTGATAGAAATATATATATATATATATAGATTAATAGATAGATACATATATTACAGATACATATAGATTATTAGATAGATAGGCTACATATAAAATAGATATAGATAGATAGATAGATAGATAGATAGATAGATAGATAGATAGATAGATAGATAGATAGATAGATAGATAGATAGATAGATAGATAGATAGATAGATAGATAGATAGATAGATAGATAGAAATGGAGGCTCCACAGAAGAGATGCCGTACATCTGTGGTGTGGGAGCATTTCCATTTGGAAACCCCAAATAAAGTGAGATGTGTGTATTGTGATCGGCAGCTAGCCTACTGCAACAATACATCATCCATGATGCGCCATTTGAGGAGCATTCATCCTGCCATTCTGCAGGGTGCAGAGGATGGTAGTGTTCCCCCTGTACCAAGGCCTGCTACTGACATCCTGCCAAAGCCCTGGATGCTGAAAAGCACATCACACTGGAGTGTGCTTCACTGATGCGTTCAAACACAACTCCTGGTGAGTTTCAGTCTATGTTATCTTATGTAATGTGATTCATGAAATTTATACTTCATATGTGTTGTCAGTTTATGATTTGTTACTAATTGCCGTTTTCTTTTAATTCAGAACCACAAATGTCAACATCAGGCCCATCATCATCAACACCAGTTGAAACACAAGACAGTTTATGGGAACATTTTGACAATCGTATCCGTGAGACCCAGATGATACACAATCCTACAGCTGATGCCACAGTGGAAGTGAAAAAATACCTCAGCGATGCGTTTTTGCCCAGAACTCATGATCCTCTAACTTACTGGAAAGAGAGAGCAGTAATCTTTCCTCATTTGTATGTCCTAGCTAAAAAATATCTTTGTATGCCAGCAACAAGTGTCCCTTGTGAGAGAATTTTTTCAAAGGCTGGAGAAATTATCTGTAAAAAAAGAAGTAGGCTGAGTCCTTCAACAGCAGAGAAATTAATATTTTTGAATAAAAATCTATAAGAAAGGGAGACATTGTGGCTTGATTTATTTTTATTAATATTCATTTTTCATGACCAAAATCACATTATGCAATGTGAAGAGACTACAGGTTACAAGCTTCATATATTACAAAAATACAATAATAAAAAAAAAAAACCAACACATTTTTTTATTAGCTCTTTGTAAAGGTTGTTTCAGATCAACACCTGCAAGTGACCACTAGGTGTCACCGTGGAGACGGGTTTCGGATTGATTCGAAGCCTCTAAACAAAATGGCACATTTGCTTCGACTGTTTCATTGCTGCCCATCACTAAGAAATGGTTGTGCATGAAAATCCCAGTAACTGAGCAGATTGTGAAATACTCAGATCGGCCCGTCTGGCACCAACAACCATGCCACGCTCAAAATTGCTTAAATCACCTTTCTTTCCCATTCTGACATTCAGTTTTGAGTTCAGGAGATTGTCTTGACCAGGACCACACCCCTAAATGCATTGAAGCAACTGCCATGTGATTTGTTGATTAGATAATTGCATTAATGAGAAATTGAACAGGTGTTCCTAATAATCCTTTAGGTGAGTGTATATATATATATATATATATATATATATATATATATATATATATATATATATATATATATATATATATATAAATGTGTATATGTGTGTGTCCCTCAGATATATTTTGGTTTACTACACTAACAGTATAAAAACCATTTACTTGTAAACAATTCTTTTAATTTTATTTATTTTAATTCTTTTAATTTAGCTGTCTTTATAATTTCACACAATTTTTCTCACACAGTTGAAATGTTTTTGTACATGGAATGAGGTTCTTGGCATTAAAATGTAAGGGTCCTTGTCCTCAAAAAGTTTGAAAAGCCCTGTTTTACTTCACTCCATTTGTAGATAAATATAAAAAAATTCTATTGGCAGGTTGCTGGACAAAGTCTCAGAGTTTGAGCGGAGAGGAATGCAGATCTCTCATGTCCGTCCTGTGTCTGAACCCCTTAAGCTTGGCAGACTCCAGGGAAATCACTTTGATCTTGTCATAAGAGACCTGAAGCCTCATGGGAAGCATGGACTTGCAGAGATGCATCAGCTTGTGAAAGAGGCCGTGGAAAATGTGAAGGTAATTAAGTGCATGTTCACCTGCATTTAATAAATAATTGAAATGGACAAACACAACAGTTAAACAATTATTTTGTTTTTACAGAACAGAGGCTTTGTGAATAATTATGGTCCCCAGAGGTTTGGAAGTGGATCGTGTGTCCAAGCAGACCAAATAGGACTTGCGCTCTTGAAGGAGAAAATAGTACCACTTCATGCCATTTATTTCCATTTAATGTCTATATTTGGTGCACCGTCGTTTGTTTGAAAGCGCTAAAACAGTTTGTGTTTTGAGCAGGAGGCTTCCGTTAAGCTGTTCTTCACCCCAGAGGATGGTGATGACCTCCAGAACAAGGCAAAACGTCATTTTCTTCTCACAGGTCTGTGCTGGGATTTCTCTGACAGCTGAAGCTTGTGATAGTTCACCCAAAAATGTCAATTTGGTCATTATTTGCTGATTCTTCGTTTCATTCCAAACCCGTTTGTCATTTTTGTTTCTTTGCATACTAGTCTTTCTATAGATAAATAGTAAACATTGTTGCTCTATAGATTTCAGTTCCTGTGCATCCAAGAACAACTAGCCGTTTCCTTGCATCTCTTTCTTCAGGGAATGCCAAGGAGAGCTTGGCACTTATGCCAGCTTACAAAGCTAGAGAGCGGCTTATGCTCCGTGCACTCCACCGGTACGGCAGCGGGCAGGAGGGTTGCATACGCGGCTGGCTCAGTTTACCCCACAGCATGAGGGTCTTTTACCTCCACTCTTACTGTAGCAGAGTGTGGAACGAAGCAGCCAAATACCGGCTCCAAAAACTGGGCTTAAAGACTGTCCATGGAGATTTGGTTTGGGCTAGATGTGAAACGGGACTCAAAAGCACCACAGAGGAACTGAACGCTCCACAGGTTAGGAAATATGTATAGTTCTTTAATCATAAATGTTTTTTTTTTTTTTTTTTTTTTTATTTCTCTCTCTCTTTATATATAGTTCATATTATATATATATATAATTTTATTTATGGTCATATCATTTGTAGTAATTGTTTGATTTCTGTGCTGTAGGTCCATGTTGTGACCTCTGAGGAGGAGAAGGATGAAGTTTTCTCATTAGACCAGGTACTATGTTCTCCTTTTCTCTTGCTGTCTGCTAACCCTTACCCGTCAGTTTCTTATGTTTCTGCTGGTTTTCTTCTAGGTGATTCTTCCGATGCCAGGGAATAGTGTCAAGTACCCAGAAAACCTGCTGGGCCAATGGTATCAGGACAGATTGGCTCAGGATGGCTTGGGGTCATGCCGTTTTAGAGTGACTCCTCTTAAACTCAACGTCCCGGGGTGTTATCGCCCCCTGCTCGCAAAGCCACAGAACATCACATACAGCTTGCGGACTGCGGAGGAGCCAAGTCTGTCTCTAACCTTTGACCTGGATGCGTCCTGCTACGCTACTGTGTGTCTCGGAGAGATTATGAAGCGTAATATTTCATAGTTCGCTCAATGGCGGTTATTAAAATATGTTTACAGTCTAAATAATGTGGATCTTTGGTAACGTCGAATATAACGGGCTGGTGAGAAATATTTTGGACTTCTTGTCATAAAGCATTTGTGCTCTCAGAGGGATTAACCACTTACAAGAAGAGGAACATCTGGATAACAAGCCAATCCATAACTATGGTGTCTGGAAGTCAAGGTATTAACTGAAAACATTTGCCTTTCATTAAAACCAACAAATAAACATTGATTCAAAGTATACCTGTGGTCTGTATATCATGTGCCTTAGGGATTTTAAAGTATGTTCTGTGCCAATGCCATCGATGAGGAGGCTCCGAGTCATCTATCTGGAACTCTGGATGGAGATTGAAGTTTACATGCAAAGATTTGATAAAAATCTTTGACAATTCTCATTATTTTTTGGTCATGCTTGTTTAAGTCCTTGAATATTTCGGCATTTAAACAAATGAGTGACATCTGACATACTTATGTTGACATACTTGTTGATAAACGAATCAGAATATTTTCTCACATCAAAAACGACACACATATTTTAACATTTTCATTCTAGCAAAAGTCTCTCACATTGGCAAACAGCTGATCATCAGCTCCCTCTTGTGGTCAATAAGTTTATCTGCTTTAATAATTGAAAGTACAAACCTAAGTTGCAGGTGAGAGAGGACTAACATTTAAATGTTTTACAACAAATCTATGATTTTGTTAGGGTCTCGACCAACAGAGCAACATGGATCTAGTAGTTTCGTTAAATGATCCAGATCAGCTCTCAGGTGATACAATGATGTGCTGAACTCAATGGCAAGCTCACAATGTAAACACATAAAATGCATCCTTTTTTTTTTTTTTTTTTTTTTATCTTCTTAAAATGACTTCTATACAGATGAAACAATGAAGGTCATCATATAAATGAACACAGATATGAAAGTATGTGGCTCAGTGGCTAATCATTTGTCCATCATGTGGAGTTCTTGATAACATTCTCATCATGTACCACAAAGCAACAGATCAGATTCAGTGACTCAAGCGATAAAGCATCACCTTTTAATAACGTAGTCCTGAGTTTGAATCCTACTATTGCTGATATTAAATTGTTGTTTTAATTATGCTGCAACTAAGATTACAATCAATCAAGCTTAACCAACTCAAACATCAAAGTCTGTAGCTCAGTGGCCAATCACTTACTGATTATAAATGGGAGGTCTTGGTTCAAATATCACAATTGGTAAAATTGTTCCCTCATATACCACAAAGCTAAAAACACATTCAAATATTTTTTTTAGCTTGTCAGATTCAGTGGCTAAAGCAATAATACACTGCCTTTTAAGTCCTGAGTTTGAATCCCACTATTTGAGTTTGAATGCTGTAGCTAGACTGAAAATCAAACTAATTGAACCAATTCAAACACCACAACGTCTGTGGCTCAGTGGCTAATTGCTTGCCTTATAATACATGGTGGTCTGTGCTAAAATCCCACAATTACTGAAGCTATTCATCACAGAAAACAAACCCTCAATAAAACACCAATCAGCTTCTCAAACTCAGTGGCACAGGAGATAAAGCGTTGAGTCTAGAGTTCAAATCTCACTTTTGCTCATGTTAAACTGTATATCCAACAAAACTCTCTCAACACCATATCGCTGCGTGAAGGACATGATGGTGCAGTGGTTAAACACGTCCCTTATAGATAAAGTGGCAATAGAGACATGGGTTCAAACCTCTCATTTGAATATTTTGTTCGATCATATAACACAAAGCTCTCAATAAAACGCGTCAAAAATATTTCTTCCCTTTAGAGACTCAGTGGCTCAAGAAATAAATTGTTGCATTTTAATCTTAGAGACCTGAGTTCAATTCCCACTATTACCTAAGTTAAATTGTATATCCAATAAAGTGCACCAAAGACCAAACAAGACCACGATGGTGCAGTGGTTAAACAGACGTCACTTGCAGATAAAGTAGCATGGGTTCTAAACTCGCATCGGCATACCTTTTTCCATCATATATCACAAAGCTCTCAATAAAACCAGTCCAAAACCAGTGAAAGCCGTGGTGGTGTAGTGGCGACACACACATTACTGGAAGACAAGGTTGTGGCAGAGTAATGGGTTCAAGCCCCATTGCTCAGTGTGTTAGATGTGTCATTTAACTGGTTTATTGTAAAATCCCAGCTCACATACAGGTGAATAGTGAAATATAAGTTCCTTCACATGTTCAAACAAGAGATCTGTGGCTCACAGGTAAGAGCGCTGCCTCATGGTTTCAGAGGTTGCTGGTTTGAGTCCAGCCAGATCTCTGCGATAGGAATGAATGCAGTGGTGTGAGTGAGAAGGTGTGGGGGATCATGGGGTCCCCCCCTGGGCTCCCGCACGATGTCCAGCAGGGGTTATGCTTTTGACTGGAAAAAATGAAAATGGCGATAAAAAAATTCATCCGCCATCCCTTCCCCACCTACTTAGGTTACCATCATTTGCTTTTCAAAGGACTGCCCCTTCAAAAAGAAAACGATACTAACCTACACATTTACACACCAACATGTCAGAAGCATTACCTGTGCCTGCGCTGATGTCCATCATACAGTGAATGTCCGTCCAAACGGCCCAGAGCTCTGCTTCTGTTGACTGGATGTAACGGTCCAAACACATTCCTTCTGTAAGGAAAGACATAAATAAAAATAGACATTACTCCATTTTCTACATCTAAAAAATGAGAATGTGAAACTAAGTCTCACAACTAGTTAATAGATGTTAATGGAATACATTTAAAGCCAAAATCTGTACAGTGTGAAAAATAGATTACAGGGTATATTACACTTCAGTAATGCTGTATCTATAATAATCTTTGGGTTCAAGTAAAATTAAGATGAGACTTTCCTTCACAATAAAGAAGAGTAATCCTAAAAGGTGAGTTTCCTGGACATGGTTTTAGCCTGTCTTGGACTGTATTTTTGACACTTTTCATTAGAAGCAAATCACTGCATCTCTACAAAACCATGAAGCAGCAGGAACATCAGAGCTTCACACACTAACTGACTCTATGAACAAGCATCAATCCAGTAGATTATTACCTACAGTAACACTACAACAACAGCAGAGACAAAGACCATTATTTCCTATTATTCCACTTTATAATATAAATATCACATGGCGATTCATTTAAAGATTATAAATGTAAAGTAACAACCTATTCATTTGTTCTTGTGAAGGTCTGACAGCGAGTTCAGCAACAGAGCAGAATGTAAACAAAGTCTAAATTACCTGACAGAGGAGCAGCATTCAGAATCAATACACACCTAAATAATGACCTAAATACAACAAATAAGGGCTGCTAGATGTGAGCTTATAATGTTACAAGAGAAAAACAATGTAAGTGAAGGAGACTTACAGGCCCAGTCGTGTGACATCTTTGATTCCTGCTCTTTATCACAACGTTTGTCTGTTTTCTCTGTTTATGGGTTGGAAATATGTGCTGTTAAGTGACATTATGAGTCTGTCACTGAGCTGTCATCTGCTGAATGTGTAGCCTTATTAAAACAAACTGCACATGTTGTGGCTTTGACTGTTATCAATATCAAGCACCATGTTGTCAATCATCTGAAGCTGCTGACAGAATGAACCTGAAGCTCGATTACGCCGCCTAGTGGAGCGGATGGAAAACTGCGCTTCAGTTTCTATTTGACGAGTCGTATTTTAGTGCCAAGAGACTCAAAGTTGATTCAGCTTCAGATTGACTATTATTCCAAAACGTCACACATACTTTGACATATTCATACTAAAGCAAAAGTCTCTTTTTATTTGGCTAAATGTTTGATGGCCGGTCCGGTGACAAACAGCTGATCATCAGCTCCCTCTTGTGGTCAATAAATGGATCCGCTTTAATAAATGAAACTACAAACCCGAGGTGGCGAGTCGCAGGTGAGAGGGCTCACATTTACATTTTGCATAGCAACATGGATCCAGTAGTTTCGTTAAATTATTCATATCAGCTCTCTGATGTGGTAACAAATGTTGTGTTGAAGTTGAACTCAGTTGCAAACACATAAAATACGGGACAAAAGATGTTACAAAATTATTTTACTTTGCTTGTATATTTGTATATTGTTTATTTGTTATGTTTGTTCACAATTAGACAATGACTTTGTGTCGTTTTGGTTGCAGATTCGTGCAGCACTTACAGTCTTGGCTGGATCTTCGTCTGTGTCTGTCACGTGATGAGGAGCACGTGAGTCTCTGGATTTCTGGACGCTCGTGAGGTGTTATGAATGGAGGAGTGAGTGTGAGACTGGCTTTTGCAGACATAAAAATACAGATTTTACACTGACTTTACATTTATAGTAAGGCTTGGTTAATTTTTGGGATAAGTTATTATTATTATAAAACAGCTGACTTTAAATGTGTCTAATGGCCGCTTTTTACTGCAATATAACAGACACACATTGTCCAGTGTTTTTCTCTGCCTTCAGACAGACTCCAGCATCTCTACATAGCATTTGGAGAATCATGGATGGAGAACAGGCATGTGCATGAGACCAGATTAATGTGTTCATGTACCCCACCTTGTGGACAATAAGTGTATCTGCATTAATATATGAAAACAGCATGAAGAGGAAAGAGATTTTTAAAAGTACCTAATCCTGCTCTTGATGAGCCACTTTCCTGAGTTTAGCTCAAACCCTGATTAAAAACAGCTTTAGCAGCTGAACAATAAATTGTTGTTTTAATGAATGCTGTAGCTAAACTAAAAAACAACCAAACTGAACCAAATCGAACATCACAAATGCCGTGGCTCAGTGGCTAATCGTTTGTCTTTCATTCAGTTCTTGGTCCAAATCCCACAATTGCTAATATTTTCATCACAGAAAACAAAGCCCTCAATAAACTCAGTCCAAAAGAGCTAAAAACTTCTGGGACTCAGTGGCTCAAGAAATAAATGGTTGCATTTGAATCTTAGATTACCTATGTTAAATTGTATATCCAACAAAGTGCATCAAACGACAGATGATATTGTGAAGGCCACGATGGTGGTTAAACACACGTCACTTGCAGCTAAAGTAGCATGGTTTCTAAACTCGCATCTGAATACCTTTTTCCATCATATAACACATAGCTCTCAATAAAACCAGTCCAAACACACCATCAACTCGCAGGTTTCAGTGGCTCAAGATACAAAGTGTTGTGTCGTGATCCTGGAGTCCTGGGTTCAAATCCTGCTATTGCTTATGTTAAAGACCATGTATTGCATTATTTCCAACAAACTGGCTCAAACGGCAGCTCTCACTGTGAAAGCCGTGGTGGTGTAGTGGCGACACACATGTTACTGGGAGACAAGGTTGTAGCAGAGTCATGGGTTCAAACCCCATTGCTCAGTGTGTTAGATGTGTCATTTAACTGGTTTATTGTAAAATCCCAGCTCACATACAGGTGAATAGTGAAATATAAGTTCCTTGACATGTTCAAACAAGAGATCTGTGGCTCACAGGTAAGAGCGCTGCCTCATGGTTTCAGAGGTTGCTGGTTCGAGTCCAGCCAGATCTCTGCGATAGGAATGAATGCAGTGGTGTGAGTGAGAAGGTGTGGGGGATCATGGGGTCCCCCCCTGGGCTCCCGCACGATGTCCAGCAGGGGTTATGCTTTTGACTGGAAAAAATGAAAATGGCGATAAAAAAATTCATCCGCCATCCCTTCCCCACCTACTTAGGTTACCATCATTTGCTTTTCAAAGGACTGCCCCTTCAAAAAGAAAACGATACTAACCTACACATTTACACACCAACATGTCAGAAGCATTACCTGTGCCTGCGCTGATGTCCATCATACAGTGAATGTCCGTCCAAACGGCCCAGAGCTCTGCTTCTGTTGACTGGATGTAACGGTCCAAACACATTCCTTCTGTAAGGAAAGACATAAATAAAAATAGACATTACTCCATTTTCTACATCTAAAAAATGAGAATGTGAAACTAAGTCTCACAACTAGTTAATAGATGTTAATGGAATACATTTAAAGCCAAAATCTGTACAGTGTGAAAAATAGATTACAGGGTATATTACACTTCAGTAATGCTGTATCTATAATAATCTTTGGGTTCAAGTAAAATTAAGATGAGACTTTCCTTCACAATAAAGAAGAGTAATCCTAAAAGGTGAGTTTCCTGGACATGGTTTTAGCCTGTCTTGGACTGTATTTTTGACACTTTTCATTAGAAGCAAATCACTGCATCTCTACAAAACCATGAAGCAGCAGGAACATCAGAGCTTCACACACTAACTGACTCTATGAACAAGCATCAATCCAGTAGATTATTACCTACAGTAACACTACAACAACAGCAGAGACAAAGACCATTATTTCCTATTATTCCACTTTATAATATAAATATCACATGGCGATTCATTTAAAGATTATAAATGTAAAGTAACAACCTATTCATTTGTTCTTGTGAAGGTCTGACAGCGAGTTCAGCAACAGAGCAGAATGTAAACAAAGTCTAAATTACCTGACAGAGGAGCAGCATTCAGAATCAATACACACCTAAATAATGACCTAAATACAACAAATAAGGGCTGCTAGATGTGAGCTTATAATGTTACAAGAGAAAAACAATGTAAGTGAAGGAGACTTACAGGCCCAGTCGTGTGACATCTTTGATTCCTGCTCTTTATCACAACGTTTGTCTGTTTTCTCTGTTTATGGGTTGGAAATATGTGCTGTTAAGTGACATTATGAGTCTGTCACTGAGCTGTCATCTGCTGAATGTGTAGCCTTATTAAAACAAACTGCACATGTTGTGGCTTTGACTGTTATCAATATCAAGCACCATGTTGTCAATCATCTGAAGCTGCTGACAGAATGAACCTGAAGCTCGATTACGCCGCCTAGTGGAGCGGATGGAAAACTGCGCTTCAGTTTCTATTTGACGAGTCGTATTTTAGTGCCAAGAGACTCAAAGTTGATTCAGCTTCAGATTGACTATTATTCCAAAACGTCACACATACTTTGACATATTCATACTAAAGCAAAAGTCTCTTTTTATTTGGCTAAATGTTTGATGGCCGGTCCGGTGACAAACAGCTGATCATCAGCTCCCTCTTGTGGTCAATAAATGGATCCGCTTTAATAAATGAAACTACAAACCCGAGGTGGCGAGTCGCAGGTGAGAGGGCTCACATTTACATTTTGCATAGCAACATGGATCCAGTAGTTTCGTTAAATTATTCATATCAGCTCTCTGATGTGGTAACAAATGTTGTGTTGAAGTTGAACTCAGTTGCAAACACATAAAATACGGGACAAAAGATGTTACAAAATTATTTTACTTTGCTTGTATATTTGTATATTGTTTATTTGTTATGTTTGTTCACAATTAGACAATGACTTTGTGTCGTTTTGGTTGCAGATTCGTGCAGCACTTACAGTCTTGGCTGGATCTTCGTCTGTGTCTGTCACGTGATGAGGAGCACGTGAGTCTCTGGATTTCTGGACGCTCGTGAGGTGTTATGAATGGAGGAGTGAGTGTGAGACTGGCTTTTGCAGACATAAAAATACAGATTTTACACTGACTTTACATTTATAGTAAGGCTTGGTTAATTTTTGGGATAAGTTATTATTATTATAAAACAGCTGACTTTAAATGTGTCTAATGGCCGCTTTTTACTGCAATATAACAGACACACATTGTCCAGTGTTTTTCTCTGCCTTCAGACAGACTCCAGCATCTCTACATAGCATTTGGAGAATCATGGATGGAGAACAGGCATGTGCATGAGACCAGATTAATGTGTTCATGTACCCCACCTTGTGGACAATAAGTGTATCTGCATTAATATATGAAAACAGCATGAAGAGGAAAGAGATTTTTAAAAGTACCTAATCCTGCTCTTGATGAGCCACTTTCCTGAGTTTAGCTCAAACCCTGATTAAAAACAGCTTTAGCAGCTGAACAATAAATTGTTGTTTTAATGAATGCTGTAGCTAAACTAAAAAACAACCAAACTGAACCAAATCGAACATCACAAATGCCGTGGCTCAGTGGCTAATCGTTTGTCTTTCATTCAGTTCTTGGTCCAAATCCCACAATTGCTAATATTTTCATCACAGAAAACAAAGCCCTCAATAAACTCAGTCCAAAAGAGCTAAAAACTTCTGGGACTCAGTGGCTCAAGAAATAAATGGTTGCATTTGAATCTTAGATTACCTATGTTAAATTGTATATCCAACAAAGTGCATCAAACGACAGATGATATTGTGAAGGCCACGATGGTGGTTAAACACACGTCACTTGCAGCTAAAGTAGCATGGTTTCTAAACTCGCATCTGAATACCTTTTTCCATCATATAACACATAGCTCTCAATAAAACCAGTCCAAACACACCATCAACTCGCAGGTTTCAGTGGCTCAAGATACAAAGTGTTGTGTCGTGATCCTGGAGTCCTGGGTTCAAATCCTGCTATTGCTTATGTTAAAGACCATGTATTGCATTATTTCCAACAAACTGGCTCAAACGGCAGCTCTCACTGTGAAAGCCGTGGTGGTGTAGTGGCGACACACATGTTACTGGGAGACAAGGTTGTAGCAGAGTCATGGGTTCAAACCCCATTGCTCAGTGTGTTAGATGTGTCATTTAACTGGTTTATTGTAAAATCCCAGCTCACATACAGGTGAATAGTGAAATATAAGTTCCTTGACATGTTCAAACAAGAGATCTGTGGCTCACAGGTAAGAGCGCTGCCTCATGGTTTCAGAGGTTGCTGGTTCGAGTCCAGCCAGATCTCTGTGATAGGAATGAATGCAGTGGTGTGAGTGAGAAGGTGTGGGGGATCATGGGGTCCCCCCCTGGGCTCCCGCACGATGTCCAGCAGGGGTTATGCTTTTGACTGGAAAAAATGAAAATGGCGATAAAAAAATTCATCCGCCATCCCTTCCCCACCTACTTAGGTTACCATCATTTGCTTTTCAAAGGACTGCCCCTTCAAAAAGAAAACGATACTAACCTACACATTTACACACCAACATGTCAGAAGCATTACCTGTGCCTGCGCTGATGTCCATCATACAGTGAATGTCCGTCCAAACGGCCCAGAGCTCTGCTTCTGTTGACTGGATGTAACGGTCCAAACACATTCCTTCTGTAAGGAAAGACATAAATAAAAATAGACATTACTCAATTTTCTACATCTAAAAAATGAGAATGTGAAACTGGACCACAAGGACCTCACTCAAACATTTGTTAATTTGTTTGAAGGAAAAAGCAAATGCACACATTTTGACAAATAATAATAATAAAAACCCTTAATATCATGATTTTCTGATTTAGATCAGAAACTAAAAGTGTCTAACAACGTATTAACCTCAACAGAAGAAAAAGCATACACTTTGAAAAATACATGTATTACAATTTACAATTGTCTAAAAATTTATAAATGTCTACGGGCATATTTACACTCACAAGTAGAGCTGAATATACTAAGGTGGTGGTCTATAAATCACAAACGTGATAGGTTGCTGCTGTTATCAGAAACGTGATTGTCAGCTACGGGATTGGCTGCTGCTGTTATCAGAAACGCGATTGTCAGCTACGGGATTGGCTGCTGCTGTTATCAGAAACGCGATTGGCTGTTGCAGTAAACTTTTTTTTTTTACCGATTTTGCCTTCTAAATCGACGAACAGTGATACAAATAGTAACAGTTAATATATCAAATATTTCTGTCTTCATTCACTTTCACGTAGAGATAACAAAACATTCGAAATATACAGCCTATGTTTTATTTCTCATTCATTTCAGTATGTTGCACTTGAGACCACCCCAGATCATAGCCTACTCACTGGGAAAGTAGGGTTATAAATGTGCCACGAAGAAGCAGGAGAACATCAGAGCAAAGTTTCCCACAACACTAACTATTACCAACATCAGCCGATAAAAAGTGCGATTGTTTATTATTTTAGGAATTGTTTCCTTATATTCACATTTGAAAGGTAATGCAACCCAGTGACTTTATAAGTAACAGTGACTTACAGGTGAGTCTCGCAGTGTGTCACGGTTGTGTTAGCAGACGGGCTGGAATATGCACTGTTTAGTGACATTATGAGTCTGTAACTGAGCTGTCATCAGCAAGATATTAACTTCTAAAGCTTTAAAACGATCCTAATGGGCTGTTGCGACTGTTTATCAGGTGTCATGTTGTTGTTGACAAGGAATTCCAAAGATGTCATGCTGAACGTGAAGCCCGCTTACGCCCCTAGATGAGCGGAAGGCAAACTGCACAGTTTCTACAAGACTACACCTGTTATAACGTCACTGACTGAGGTCCAAAAAGTCTAAAAAATAATTAAGTTTTTTTTTTTACCCAGGTCATACTGACAGCAGGAACATTAGCTCCTGACTGTGCTACTCAATGCCGTAGTTCTAGCTTTTTGGATCACAGTAGTAGGTGTGCTTCATCTTTTTTACCACTAAGTGGCAGAAAAGCTTAGAGAAATGAACCCAAAGTAGACCTACATTTGTAAAGCTTCAATGGTTGTGAGATAGTAAAACTGCACTTGGGGTAGGGTTTAAAATCATATTTCATATACATAAAAAAAAAAAAAAACTGAAATCTACTAAAACAAAATGTTCTTTTACTGGTGATTTTGGTCAGACCAGCTTTGCTCATGCAATACCTACCAGTGCTCACAGATCTGTGGTCAGTTGAGTTTTGACTTGTAGACGGAAGTTTATAAAAACACAGGATCTCATTCATAAGTAACGTAAACAGCCTCATGACCTCTAAACCCATTTTAAACAAGTGCTCTCTCTTTTTGAATCTTTCAGTTTAAATCTGATGTCTTTCTTGCTTTATCTTTGTTAGTCCTCTCCCCAATACACCAAGAATCAAAGTAGGCCTCAGTATTAATTTTAACTACCTTTAAATAGCATCAAACCTCAAAGGACAGAATAAAAGGACTGATTAAGGGACTAGGTCATAATGTTCCTTTCCCTAAATTATTGCATTTTGGCATCCCAGCTACCACATCCAGAAAATGTTTCATGTAGTTCTGGCCTCAGAGAGCAGTGTGTTTTGTGTGCCTCAGCTACGGTGATCACTGTTTAAATCTGTTAGCATGGGGTCTGATGTTTATACCTCAGTGTCAGCAGTGGTAACTTAAGCAACCGACAAGTATAGTCTCATTTTTGGACTCTATGTTAAATTGTTTGGAACTGAAAAACAATGCTCTCTGTCTTGTTTTCACAAGAATTCAGTTGTTGACATTGAGACCCCAGCGTCCTCTTCTCTTCTCTAGCTTTATGAGATTTGCGAAGCTTGGCTGAAAATGAGCACTAAAGTTAACAAATCATCAGAGTGATTCACGGATGAATCTCACAAAGAAATGTCTGGGTCATATTTCACCCTAAAATCAAAAGAAAAAAAAATTATATTTTGTATAAATAAAATCATTTTGTACGTACTCAGTGATGCCATCGTTTTACTTTCATATATTCAATCAAATGAATAAATACCATTTTATTCGTCATATAAGTGACTTTTATTATTATATTTTTTTGTTTTGTAACTATTTCTTTTGATTTTGGGGTGAAATATGACCCAGACGTTTGCTCTCAGTTTTCATGAGATACACTCCTACATCCCAGTGTCCTAACAATTCTCCGTGATGGCATGAACGTGGTACACAAATCCGTTCAGTGTCACTCCGCAGGGAAAACATATTGATCTGTGGAAACCACTAGCTAAATTATCAACAACTGACAGGCAACGGAGATCGAGAGCAATTGTTGCAGGCAATGTTTCCAATGTTTTAACATTTCAGAGAGGGATCCGGCCAACTGAAATAAACACACAATCAATTCAGCTCACAAGCTCCCCCCTTCATTTCATTACCAGTCTCATGATGCTATTTTCATGTATCATCTACAATCGTAACATAAT